TCCTTCAAACTTTCTCTCTTCGTAAGCCCCATTAGAATGATTATAGCCAAAATTTTTTTTCATTTCTGTTGAAGTGACATCCACCCACTTCAAAACCTTATTGGTTCTGTCGTACGCCTCACAGTGTTGGAGATAGTATCTGTTAGTTTCCTGACACAACAGGTCAAAGAAACTATCTCCAAAAAACAGTGACGCAACTTCAGACACGTCCGTTGGGTCCGATGGCATCTGCTTCACCTCCGGATCACCAGTAAAGTTTCCCAAAGTGGGGGTTTTGTCCACTTTATCCCATGTAGCTGTCCCGACACTCGCACTTTCAACGGAGCTCTCACTTTCACTTGACACATTTTGGGCAGCCCTGTGGCCCCTGTCACTGATAATGGCCTCGCTATCAGAAGACGAAGCAGTTGGCAAATCTGATAGCTCATCGGAGAACATATCTAATATTTCCTGTCCTCCGAGAGATCGCAACTGCTTTCGTCTCTGAGCCATGTTGAACTGGTAGCTGCGTGGTTCATACTTGCAAGCTTGGATTAGAACAAAGCCAATTTTGTTTAGGTTGTGACAGGAAATGACTCTGGTCGAGTTACTAGATAAGGCAGCAATCATTCCCGAGGTCATCTACGCAGTAATTACGATTCAACGAAGCCACACAGCGATATATAGCGTTTTGCAACATAACGTGACCGTAGAGGGCCATATGGCCAGACCGGTCCGCAACGCTTGGAAACGTAGAGGGCCATATGGCCCCTCCGGTCCGCAATGTGATATGTATACATTGGTCCTACATGATCACATGCTTATTCGAAAATTCTCATTTTCCATTAGTGATTTCATTTACCCACAACCCAATTTTCTTTAATGAGATGCTTTCTGTACCTAGTCTATATAGCATTGGATGGTAGAATGTGACTAATAAATGAGGTACTATCCCAGCATTTCCCTGGAGGGGCTGAGGAAAACCATGATAAAGTCAGGATAGCTGGACTCCTGGCTAAGACCTGAAATGAGCACTTCCCAGATCGAAGTCTGGAGCATTATCTGCATTATCTCTAGAAAAGGGGCTCTCAAACTATGTGATACCATGACCCCCTAAAATAATACATGAATTTATGTGAACCCCACTGTGCCAGTGAGGATGAAGTTGCTGCAACAGGGAACTTGAATAGCTGTATAGCCTCTCTGTACCTACAGACAGATACAGACACACACTGCTGGCAGGTCCCTATCAGGCTGCAACAGTGAACTTGTATTGCTGTATAGCCTCCCTGTACCTACAGACAGATACAGACACACTGCTGCTGGCAGATGCACCTCCTCACAAAATCAGTGTATGCTACACTCTGTAGGTTAACACACATGTACATATTATCATAAAAGAGACAACCCTGACAATGGCCTAAGATCTGAAACATAGGCTTTTTGTTCATACGGATGTCATCATTATGATCAGTGTATTTTGATGCTTCTTGTATACGCAGGTACTGAAGGGAACAGAATGTATCTCATTTCCTGCCATGCCATTATACCTGCACCACAAAATCCGGATTTTGAACTTACTACATTCAAAATGGAAGTGGATGAGAACATGTAGGAAAACTTAATTCAAGGGAAATTAAATGGGGGCTGTATACACATGAGGGCTATTCAGAAATTAACCACTGTTTATTTTAGGCAACTAAAAGCAGGAGAGAGCTCATGCATGCAAGGTAGCATCGCATGACATTGCCTTGTAAACTATCACATAACTGCTCACTTGACTCTACGGAGTGAGTTATGGTGTGTCCTGCAATTGAAAATCCTGACAGCTACAAAATTTGTGTGCTGTGTTCTGCTTTCTTCATGCTAAAAACATGAGCACTGTGGAAATCCATTGTGAATTACATGTGGTTTACTGCCAAAATGCAATGAGTGAAGGAACTGTAAGACAATGAAGTAGAATGTTCTAATTTGGGTCAATAAATGTTTACAAAGAGGAGTGAAGTGGTTGGCCACTTGTAGTGTGTGATGATCTTGTTCAAAGTGCTGACCAAAAAATTTCACAATTTCAGAACTTTCGTGTGAACTGCCACAAACTTCACGCACTCTTCTCTATGAGATTTTCACAGTTAGGCTAGGCTATCACAAGTTTTGCGCAAGATGAGTTCACATAAAACACAGAGAATGGCTTCGGCTGACTAATTTAGAGCAATACCACAAAGATAGGGACGAATTTCTCAGTCAGATCATATGGGCAACAGGTGACAAAACCTGGGTGAAGTAACGCCACTATCACTAAGGTAGCTGGGAAGACTGAATGGGAACCCAGAAAATGGTTGCTACTGGAGCTACAGTAAAGCTTTGTTGCACAGTGAAAAAAAAAGTTGCAACTAATCATCTGACTTAAGATGTGGATTGAATACCATATAGATGAGTGGAACCCCCACTTAATGTTCAACTTAAAAATTATGTCAGTTTATGTTTGATTTTAATGACCCCCAGGTCAATAGTCTCAGTATTAAGTGTTCTCCATTCAAGATCTTCCTCAGTTTAGTATAAAAATCAATTACTCCCCAAAGAAACCTTAAGTGGGCACTTAACTGTCCTGCAGTATTTAACATTTAACACAAGCTAATATGCATGCAAATGCAGGTCAACAAGGTGCCAAATCCCCAATAATATTTTCTGACAGATACCCACAGTCCATGTCTTCCTACAGAGTGAGACAAAGTTCCACACCTATACATTATAGACAAAACTGTTTCAGGCTTCAGTTCTTAACATTTTCGATAGGAGATTGAAGATCAACAGAAGTAAAAGTGTGACATACACAAAGCAATAATCTGCATAAACTCACTTCCCGCCACGTATCAATGCACTCTGCATGAAATTGATGTATGCATGGAAGGAGTTCAATCAGCTCATAACCTCCGAAATCACACATGCACACCACACACGATGTCTGATTTGCCATACTGAAGTGTGCATCAAGCCTGAACAAAATATCACATTATCAGACATTACTTAACAACTACTTCAAAATCTGCAACTAGCTTAAGGTAAAGTTGTCCCAGTACTTAATTAACCCTTTGACGTGGTCATTTAAATTCCGCGGCCGCGGCTCCTGCGGTAATATATTCAGCCGGCCATTTAAATTTTGCTCGAAAATTATTTATTCATCATTGTTCTTAAATTCTATGAGATAGGAACATGAAACTTTCACTAAAATGATCTTAAATGGTGGTTTTATAACCTTACCTTATAATATGGGCGCCCTGTATCTCGGCCATGGAAGCAGGTTGTTTAGTATTTCAGCAGTGAATGGTACGCCTTGAAGGATGAAACTTTCACTAAAATGATCTTAAATGGTGGTTTTATAACCTTACCTTATAATATGGGCGCCCTGTATCTCGGCCATGGAAGCAGGTTGTTTAGTATTTCAGCAGTGAATGGTACGCCTTGAAGGATGAAACTTTCACTAAAATGATCTTAAATGGTGGTTTTATAACCTTACCTTATAATATG